CTTATACCCAGGAGACATTCTGCTTCCAATGCTTTCAAGACTTCTGAACGCGGGGAGGAAAGATGCACCAATGCTACGTGGTGTAACAAATCAGCTCTTGAAAAACTATAAAATCTGAAAGGAAAAAAAATTAAATAATCTCTGCTTAAAATATCTCAATGTCATCCTTTAACCTATTTAGGAAGATCAGCTCTGATGGCTTTATGGAAGCCCAACCATGTGTACTGTACAAGCTTAATGGTATTGTAGCCATCACCAGCTTTTGAAATGAGTGAAACACAAAGTTATTAAATCAGTTTTTCTCCTGCAGTCCCACTTGGTCATTTCCTTTAAGCTTATTTCTGTGCAATTAAAGAAACGGGTATGCAGATTGTTTTTAAAAGAGGCAGAAGACAAAGTTCACTGACAGCCAACTCTGTAACCAATACAAGAAATAAATCTCACCAATTTTTTAAAAAAATATTTCATAGTATATTTTGAGAAGAAAAGGGAGACAGCAGAACTTGTCTCTGGGTTACATTTAAAAAAAAATTCATTTCCCCCTGACTGTTAACACAGCTTTCCTGTTGGACTGAATTGTGTCTTCCCCACATTTGTGTTTTTAGTGCTGGAATCTTCATCAGCGTACCTTTTGTATCTTAACATGAATAAATCATAAATTTTCCTGGGGGTTTAATAAAAAAAAATCAAAGAAACAGAGGAATTTGTGTGTGTGCGTGTGTGTATAGAAAAAAACAAAGCTCTCAAAACCAATCTTACCTCAGTATATGTATTTACACACTCAAGATCAAAACCGGTCTAGGTAAACTCTACAGCACTGTCAATCCTATGGTAAAAGTTACATTTATACATTTCAGATATTAGTGTCCTTTTTCCTCTCCCACTCCTTCTCTCTCTGTCATCCGCCCGCCCCCGCCCCTTCAGCTAACACTCTTTGGTTTCAAAGAGACTAAAGAAGCGCTCTGTGAAACTTCCCATTCACAGCAGGGCCAGGTAGTTATGCTGAAAGTACCAAAGCATACAGCAGATAAAAAGGTGCTAAGACATTTCCTTCTGTTATAAAAGTCATAGGTCTGTATATGAAGCAGCATTTGAACTTGTGTTTCAATATTGAACAAATTACCTTGTTCATATTTAAAACTCAGCAAACCCAGCTTCTAACCTCAGTTACTTGCATCACAGCGAGGAGGTATGAAGCCTTTCAAGTTAGCACCAAAAGACACTATTTCTTTTTATTTTTTCAGCTAGTCACAGAGCAAATATTTTAAAGCTCTTCTAGCTGTTTCAAGAAAAGGAAAGAATTCCTGGCTGGAAGCATTTGTTGGACGAATGCATTGCTTCACCACTTTTCAGCACCTGCACAAATTATTGACCTAATTTGGGGGTTGAGGGGTGGCTAGTTTGAGGCTTGAAATCTTGAGGACACCAGACAAGCGCAACATCTTTGAGAACAAGGATCCTGTCAGCTGAGTATATATTGTATCATTCACTGTAGTACAAATACTAGAATAAAATGCATTTGAATGCCTTTTCTAAGGTCAGTATGAACAGATTAATGAGATATGGTACAGAGATGGGCAAATTCATACCTCTTCTCTGCCGCCATGTCTCTTTTTATGTAAAGCTAAAAGCACTCACCCTCACTTGAAAGGCTTTGTCTCCATCTTCTCTCCCACTGGTCCCCCCACTCCACCCCCTTGTGCCTTGTGTTCTGGCCACTCTTCACATTACAACCAATAAAATGTGTGTATTTTAAAAGCTAGGAAAGAAAACATGCTCATTGAAGCTGAATGTGGTGAGTGCTTGTCTGGCTGGCCAGGGGAAAGGGGTGAGAGGATGTTGCCCTTTCCTTGGACACCTCTGCAACTGGGTGGCAGAAAGGTTCACCTGGATGGAGCAGGGAGGAACAGGAAGTGGCTGGACCAGGGGAGGCAGAGTCCCCTTCGGGAGGAGGGGTGTAGTTCCAGAGAAGTCCTCTCTCATCGCAATTGGGCTGGCAACACCTAATAGTCCCTATTTCGTATATTGCCCTGTTCATCTGTAGTGCTTAAAGTGCTTCACAATATTTGAAGGGTTTCAGAGTAGCAGCCGTGTTAGTCTGTATTCGCAAAAAGAAAAGGAGTAATTGTGGCACCTTAGAGACTAACCAATTTATTTGAGCATAAGCTTTCGTGAGCTACAGCATCCGATGAAGTGAGCTGTAGCTCATGAAAGCTTATGCTCAAATAAATTGGTTAGTCTCTAAGGTGCCACAAGTACTCCTTTGCTTTTTACAATATTTGAAGGTATTTATCCTCACCACTCCCCAGTGAGGTAGGGAAACATCATAACTCCTGTTTAACAGATGGGGAACTGAGGCACAGAGAGGCTAATGACTTGGTCATAATAGAAGCCCATAGCAGACAGGGAATTGAATTTTGGGCCTTTAAAAGAAACAACCTTTTTGGGAAAAATGGACTGGAAGCACTGACTGAAAGTGAGCTTCACCAAGAGGCTGCCACCCCTACTGTCTCCTAGGAGTCAAGGATCGACTGTGATACTGTTAGGCCTTCATTGTCCTGATCCTGACACACATACTGACTACACTGGCCTAAGAGAGGGACGCAGATGACATTGCCACCTCCACCAGCTTTGGCTAAATCCCAAACACCACCTGGGATGTGTGACATCGTCGTCATCCCCGTCTCATGTGTGTTCTTTTCTTTTCCCAACTTATTTCTTCTCTTTCCTATCCCTATCCTTTTGCCTCCCGTCAAATAAGAATCTGGCTTAGCTGGCCAAGACTGCATAATTTGCAACACTGCCCTAACCCTGTGATCACAGAAGCAGATAAAAGCTATGCTCTAAACAGCCTGGCACAAGCTAGCCACGTCTTGGAGTGCTCAGTAAAACTGTGTGCCATGCTTCTGTTTTGCAGTGAGGTGCCAGGCCAGAATCAACACCAGAGATGGAAGCTGCATTTTCCATCTTTGTTGTTCTTTTTTCTCTCCCCTTTTGTGTGTTTGTCTTGTTTTGTCTTCGAGAAAATGGGATCAGACTTCAACAACAGCAGCAGCAGCAGCTCCAGCTCATTCCAATGAACTTTTTCTCTTCCTGCCTCGCCCCCGCTCCAAAAGGGCAGTTTTTACCATCTTTAACACCATCTAAACCACCACCAAACAAGGGGTTTCCTTCTAAAAACTCTTTCCAGCTAAAGGAAAGAGAACAGGGGATATTGTTAAAATGAAAGCCTTACTTAATACTTCACATTTCAAATGCTTCGACTGTTTCTCCTTTTTTTGTTTATATCCTCAATAAAAGGTTAAAAGCTTTTTAATGTTGTGTTTGAACAGCTGAGATCTATGCAGGCTGAGATCTATGCATACTAAACCCCAAACCTTGTTGAAAATTGTTTAATGTGGACAGTTTCAGGATCATGTTAACACCTTTGGGCCAATTTAATCCATCAACATTATTACAACAAGTCTTAGGCTAATCAAAAAATGACACTGACTATTCCTAAACGAATGTATTGATAACAGCACCTCCCCGATACCAGACTCTTTCCCATTTTCTCAGGGAATGATCAGGAACAAGAATCTTAAGTTAAATCTATCCAAGCTTCTGTATTGTGTAATGGTATCTAACTACCTCTGTGCCTTCCCCTTTCTTTCAAAAGCGTTTGAATGAAAACAAACTAATAATTGAACAACAAACATTTTACACGTTATGAATTTAAACAAAAAATAACCTCAATTAGTAGAAAAAGCTTCAGGATGAGTTTTTAATTATTAGAGAATAGCTGTGACCAAAACAACCCTCACTCAACACCGTGGCTACTGTACTGTACTTTCTTGTGTGGTGATAAGAAATAATGACAAGTCTGATTCCCAGATCACAATTAGCACAGTATGTCACATAAACAAGGCAAGAGGATACCGAGAAAGATCCTCTCAACTTTAGTCACTGGCTCTGTATCAGCTGCCAAATATATAACTTGCAATGGGAAGAAAATGAAGCCATAAGGCCAAGATCTCCTCTCAGTCGCACCAGTGTAAATTTGCCATCATTCAATTGACTTCAGTGGAGTTATTTCAGACTAACACTGATGGAACTGAGAGCCAACTGGAGCCCTTGTATGTGTAGCTCCTCCAGGAATGATTACATGCCTGATTGTGAATCAGATTGTATTTTCTTAAAAAAATAATCTTCCAAGTGGAACATGAGGGAGGGAATTCATGAATGTGTAACATGGAGATAAGAACATCACTCTTTCCCCAAGGTTTAGTTTTACAGGCTTTGCCTGAGGATGGGCTTTCCCTACAGTGCCTTGGAGACTCAAGCTAAATCAAGAAGGCTATCTGTACTATATTGACCCTTAAACTCATTGAGGGTGAAATTCTAGCCCCATTTAATTCAATGGGAGTTTTGCCACTGACTTCAATGAGGCTGGGATTTCTCCTTTAGAATCTGATCCCACTTCACCAAAGGCAAAATTCCCACTGACTTTACAGGGAGCTGGTTCGGGCCATTAGGGAATACCAGTAGTTCTGTAATGAGAGTTCTACAATGGACAGAAAGTATAAAAATATTCTATACTGCTTCTGGAAAACAGGTGACAAATGCTGTGCTCTTTGACAATGAGAATTTGAATAAGAACTGTGAAAAAACGGAGATTGAGACCCTTGTTATTCAGATTGATTAAATGTGTGTTATGACTACTCAGGTGAATAACTGTTCACCAACATCGGAAGGGGGGGGGTCACAATCTGGCCAGGAGTAAGGCCTCAGGATCTGGTCTGAAGTCAGTGTATCCAGTGCAAAATTAACGTTACAGATCTTCAAAACTGTATTGGAGGTCATGTACCGATCCTCCAAACAACGGCTGAAAATGACAACCGGTCTAGTGTGCCCTGGCCTTAGGATTCCAGAGTCATTACCATCTCCTGTGAGCGGCTTGTTGTTGTTATTAGATGCCAGAAAACACTTTAGATCTGAGAAAAAACAGGACAGTATTTTGAAACAAAATCTTTATTTTTCCTCCAAATGTGGAATGTGTCATTTGTCATCAGGCACTGTCCATAGAAATATAAACATTTTAAGACAGGCTTTGCTCAAATCAAGCAATGTACACCTTGATGTTTAATGAAAATATTCAACATAATCAAGATCAACTATTCTCTTCACTCTCTTCTGGGTGGAATACATGCTTTGATATCAACTGATCACTTATGAATGACTAGCTCAGCCAGCATGATATATGAATAACTTCCTTTTCAGGTAAATCCACTACAGGTACCAGAATCAGAGCTGGAGTCTTCTCGCCCAACTGGTCTTTTAGGTAATCTTGTAGTCCTAAAACAGGAACAAAATAAATGATGAATACCTTCTGATTTTTGTGTTTTAATCATTAAACAAATGCATTTGCGACTGTAAAAAAGTGTGTAGTTTTAAAAATGACTTACATATTATACATTTAAACAAACCACTAATTTGTAGGATTCTGAATATCCCAAATAGCAAAGGTAACAGAGGTACTCAGCACATTACTGAATTTCAATTTACCCGTACCTAATTTGTGACTTGGGGCGGTGATATGGGGGTAAGTTTAAATTCAGTGACTGTATGTTCTGAATGTCTCTTTTACTTTTCATATTTGAATATTCAGCACGTAACTCTCTACAGTTAGTAGGTCAAATTCTGTTCTTTGCTGCACTTGTAGAACCCCACTGTGTTAAATGTTGCAGTGATGTATCCTGGAAGAAACATACCCCACTGATTTTTTTTAATGTGTTTGCAAGTCACCTTTAAAATCAACAGAAGTACTGTATACCTTTACTGCTATCTGATCATAGAAGTGTAACAAATTATATTGGATACTTCATATCTCCTTATGGAACTGTTCTATATAATGTAATGGGGATAAAGCCTCTAGGAGTCCAGAGAAGAGCAACAAATACGATTAGGAGTCCAGAGTTAATGATTTATGAAAAGATTAAAACAACTAAACACAGAATCTGAACACTAAGAAGGGATGTGCCAACAATCTACAAAAGTTTAAAAGGTACAAACACCATGGAGGGAGTGGAATTCATGTGATGCACAGAGAGGGTGTCTCATTAGAAGGCTAATGGAATGGAACTAAGGAATGACAAATTTGGCTGAATATCAAGAACATCACATATAGCCTCACTAATTAAGTGATAGAAGCCCCATCACAAAGCATTTTTAAAATGTGATTGGAAAAAGTGCTAAAAATTATACTGAAGGAACCGATCCTGGGCTGCAGGGTTTAGGTTTTAAGAGGTCTTTTCTGTCTTTAACTTCTGTGATTCTATCAACACTTCAGAACATTAAACATTCTTGGCTAGACAAACAGTGTAAAGAGGACAGAACTTAAACATTGTATTGTTTTTCCCACTGTATGTGAGACTGTGAATATATAGTTCAATCAAAGTGTTAACATGTACTCAGTGAAATTCTGGCTCAGCTGAAATCAGTAGGAGTGTTGCCACCAGGGGCGGGTCTACCAATTTTGCCGCCCCAAGCAGTCACTGCCGAATTGCCACCGCCGCAACAGTGCCGGAGCTGCCGCCGAATTCCCGCTGTGCCCAGGACAGGGACTGCCGCCCCATTCTGAATGCCGCCCCAAGCACCTGCTTGGAAAGCTGGTGCCTGGAGCCGGCCCTTGTTGCCACTGATTTTGGTGGAGTCAGGATTTCACCTATTGTTTTTACTGAACGGCAACAGAAGGAATACATCTGAATATCTTGTAACAGGGATGTTACCATACAGATGTTGCAGCCAGAGGAACAAACTAAGACTACTAAAATGCTGCTGAGTTATTTTGCATTGAAAATTGTTGACATTAGAGATGAACGCTGACAGAGGTGAACCTAAGATCGATATTCACTGGAGGGTCAAAGGACTTCATGTTCTGTGTAATAAGCAACTCAATCTATGTATCACCGCGATTTGGCAGTGACACACTGATTAAGGGTCAGTTGGCATTTCCATTTCAAACTCTGATTTTTGGGTGACTTCATAGTTATGCTGGCTCAAAAGGCATTGGGTCCAAGTATGCAGAAAGTTGTCAGCTCAATGAAAAAAAAATTACATTTTAAAATAGGTTATTTTTATTTTATTTTTGGTGTTTAGACAAGCAGAAACCATCCCTTCTGCCACTAACTTTTCACAGGTTTGTAGCCCAAGTCTACCACCATAAAAAACTGGGTATCATTTTCAAAGAAGATATTTGGCAAGGAGGTAGTTCTGATAGTGAACTTAACTCTTTTGGTACTTGGAGGCGACCCAAAATATTTACTTTGGAAAACTCTCTGGTAAGTTTTGAGTCAGAAAGGGCCACATTTTCAAAAGATGACTCTCCTTCTTGTTTGTGCAAACTGCATTTGCAAAATCTGCACCAAAGTTTTTCACCTTCAGTTGAATTATGGGTGAAAATCTGGGTACTTGGATCTCCCACTGTCCTATTACAGGTGAAAATCAGGTATTTAAATGGGCAAGTATTCTGTTCTGAATCTGCAGCTCATTTTGTTAGTCTAAAAACATGGGGGTAAAAATTAGCAGGTGCAAATTTCACTGGCAGTATGGGAGGATGGAACTCCTGCCTTCTAAAAATAAAACTGCAAGCCAAAGTACGGGGGGAGAGGGGCACTGCACTATTAGTGAAATTGCATCAGTTCAAATAGACATAGTTAATTCATTCAAGAATACAAAGGCTACATCTTTCATCTGTTATAAATAAAACAATAGTTGATCCTCTAAGTCCTTTCTTCTACTAATTACACCAATTTAATGATGTGGCACTAATAAAACAAATCCTTAAGGTTTTCAGCAAACTATGATTTTAGATAAATAATAACTCAAGTCAGCATTATTTATTATTTTTTATATTAAGTAATTCTTTGCTTAAATAGCTAAGGTTTCAAGTAGCTTTTTATCAGTGCTGAATATGGAACCAATTGTTCACTTGTTTGTCGTTCCTGTAAACAAAAACACAGGGGAGTGGCTGCCGATGGTGGTGGTGTATGTATATGGGAGTGGGGGATTGGGCATGTGTATTTGGGTGGGGTTGGAGGAGGGGGCTAGGAGGAATAAATATACTTCAGCAATGATCTATGCTAGTCCAAACTGTCTCTTTAATGTGCCCTGCACCAGACTTTTCAAGTCTGATAGAGAATTCAGTGATTCATTTCAAACGTCAGTAAACAAGCATTTATCAAAGTGATAAATACAGTATTTTCATTTTCAGTCACATGTCACTCTTCCCATTTCTACTTGGTGTTACCCCAATGCAGATGAGAGCCTAATTCTAGGGTGCTCTCCACACCCACTGCGCTCAACAAGAATTGAGGCCCCAGACTGTCACCAGGAATTTTTCTACTTAAATCAGGGACAACTGAGGGACGCATGAAAACACACAGGAAGGTGGACACAACTGGAAATTAAAATAAAATTGACTCAAACCAACCAACCAACCAACCAGTGCTATTTGTTCTTATTGTCCTTTCAGTAACAACAGGAGATAATTCAGATCAGTAGTGCAGTGACCTTTCATACTGACCTAATACCCTTCACATTTTACCATGGCACTTTTCAACATTATAAGTTACTGCTTTTAAAGGTGGTCTTCATGCTAAACAGCCCCATGAATGCAACAGCATCCTTTTATAGAATCAGTCTAACCTTTACAAAAATAGTCTTGACACGTGCGCTACAGTTGACTTTAGTAAGACCCTTAGACCCTCTTCTGCAGTCCTTACTTGTATGAGCTGAAGCCAATGAGACTGCTCCTATGGGCACTGCTTGCAAAACCAGGGCCATTATCCTGATACTTTTAGTGGCAAGCACTCTCCACCAGCTCGTTATGGGCGAGAACTAGCCTGTGTTGAAATGGAAAATGGTAGTAGAAAGATCATGTGTTTCACCCAGAACATAACAATCTATTTGATGTTACAACTACACTCTTCCTTCGCTTTGTAATGAAAAAGATATTGTTACATCACTTAGTTCAGGTCTTTAAATCCCTGAGCTAATAAAGCCCCATTGCTTCGGCTGTGTGGATTTGACATGAAGCATGTACTTCGAAGAGAAGCCTCACAGGGGATCAGGTTCCTAACACTTTACTAAGAGTTCTAGTCCCACAAGATGTGCCCCTGGTGTGCAGGGCACTTAACCCTTCGACCAGTACCAACATGACTATTCACAAATTATTGATGTCCCTAAATCCCCGGCAGATTGCAGACAGTTCTTGTCTCCCTTGAAGCCAAAGCATATGGCCACTAATGGGATGGATTAAAAAAAATACATACACACATTCAGTCTTTGCCACATGAATGTAAAGCCACAGAAATGGTAGAAGGTGATTGAACTGGACTGAACACTGTTAAATACATGATTAGCCTCTTGTTGTGGATCATTTCCATTGATCTATATCTGGTTTCACAGCACAGTTTAATTAAAGCTGTCTGGAAGAAGCCTGTTCCCTAAATGATCAGGCAGTGCAATGAAAAGCTGAAACATGAGGAAGCTTGAGGCCTTTAAAAAAAAAGATCCAAGTGACTGTCTTTATGGCTAACAACAGCATCAGGGAAGGAAAATACATTTCAGAAAATTAACTGGTTTTACTGCTGTTTTGTACCAGGCCTATGTGCCAGAGAAATCAATTAATTTTTTTCCAAGTTTGTTCTTAGAATAATACAATGGGTTTTGGGTAAATGCAGAATTTCAAAACAAAATGTGTACAATCTACTTGCTTTATTCTGGATAAAATCCTCTTGTTCAGAATAAGCACTGTGCCTATTAAATAAAAACACCTCGATAGAAAAATCTGATGAAAAAATAAAAATGAAATAAAAGTAAACTGTTTCCTGAAGGATGATCTGTAGTGATTTTCTCCTGCAATATTCTAGTTTTCTAAGGAAAAATCTGGACATCTTATATACTTTGATACTTAGCTTTTGATTAGCTCCTTTATTATCTCTCTTCCTTCACTGTCCTAATGATATTTTTAAAATCAGTCATGTTGGACATTCCCCTTGAAAAGTATATGGGCCAGATTTTCAAAACTGCTAAGCTCCTGACAGCTGGGGGCAGATTTTCAAAAAAGCTCTGCTCCCATTTCGGAACCTAAACAAAGTGGCCAGCTTTTCAAAAGGACTAAGCACACTGCAGGTGGATGGAAAATCTGGCCATAAATTCATTATTATATGTTCTTATATTTTTATTTCAGGATTTTAAAGTTGGGATCATAAGATTTTGCAATCAGGAACACAAACAAATACTAGGAGAAAAGAGGATCTGACAATGGCTACACATGGAAAACCACGAATGGC